ACATTAGTTTCTTGTTTTGGCCTTCCTCAAAAAGAACTGCTATAAAGATTTTTGTATATATAGGTCCTTTTCCTCTTCCTTTCCTTCTTTCCTTTTCTTCTCCTTTCTTCTTTTCTGTCACATATATAGTAGGCACTTGATAAATGTTTCTTTCTTCTTTGTTATTTTTTATTTCTCTCTCTTTCTTTTTTATATTCCATCCTCCCTTCTTTTTTCCTTCCTCCTTTCCTTCCTTTGTTTTTTCTTTCCTCCTTTCTTTCTTGTATGTAGGCCTACCAATAGTACAGCTAAGTCCTAGTGTATGCAGTTTGGCAGCTTTCTAGGCAGTTTCAAATTTTTTTTTTTCACAATGGCTAAATGAATGCACAGCTCCAACAAGGTGCACTAGTATGCCTATTTTCCCATAGCCCCTCCAAAATTTATCATTTTCCTCTTTTGTCCTCTTAACCAGTCTGATAGATGAGAGGCATATCCTCAAAGTGATTAATGGTCTTCTTAAGCTATGAGGCCAAGAACTGAACACAATGGTCCAATTGACATATCATGAGTGTTGAATACAGTGTAACTACCACTTTCCTATTCCTGTAAGCTCTATCCCTCATGGTAATATATAATCACATTAGTTTTTAGGACTGCCACATCATATTACTAACTCACACTGAGATTGAAATATGATAAAACCCTCACATAGTTTTATAACAACTATTTTCTGTGACTCCGCCATCTAATAATTGTGAAGCTGATTTTTTATTTTTTTTGTTATCCTAGTGCATAAGACATCCAGTAAATTACAGTTCAGTCTGACACAGAAAACTTCCTCAAGGTTGTACACAACAAACGGGAAACACAAAATATACATAATTATGAACACATACAGGAAAGATTGTTTAGATACCAAACTCCACAGAACCATAATACTCTGTCACAAAGAGGTGTCTTATCTGAATCTCCTAGACTCTAGGACCTAGAGAGGTAATCCTCTCTGTAGTCACAGGGAGCTTTCTGGATGATCCCATAGCATATTACTCTCTCTTCTCCAGTTAACTCCTTTGATATTTATGGAATTTTGATATTTCTTTTCTTCAGTGAATATAACCGCTTTGATTAAATAACTTACTTTATCAAAATTTGATATTTATTAATTTGCATACTATTATATATTGCCTTCTTCTAATAATTTAAGTTCTACTATTTAGCATTAGGATGATGTCCTCCAATGTGATTTCATGAGTGTGGGAGATTTGCAGTTTGGAAATTCTCCAGCACAGCAGACCAGCAACTTGTCTGTAACTTATATTCCTAGGTAATTGCTTAATGGTACAGTGAGACTGAATGACTCACCTATGGCCACACAGCTGGTATGTGTCAATAGCAGGACATGAATCTGGGTCTTTCTGACTTATAGGCTGGTTTTCCTATCTACTATGTTAGCCTACTTTTCTAAAAGTATGATCTTTTCTCAATCCTCTTCTGTTTTGACCTTTCTGCAGCTTTTGACCCTGTTGATCACCTTCTTCGTGATACTCTCTTCTCTCTGGGTTTTTGTGACACTACTTTCTATTAGTTCTCTACCCTCCAATCTGATTTCTCATCAGTCTACTTTGATGGGCCTTCATCCAGGTCACAACTTCTAACTATGGGAGTCACACAGTGCTTTGTTCTGGGATCTCTTCTTTTCTCCTTCTATGCTGCTTCATTTGGCAATATCATCAGCTCCCATGAATTTAATTATCATGTCTTTATTGATGGTTCTCAAACCTACTTATCCATCTCTAACCTTTTTAGTGACCTCCAGTTTCATCTCTCCAACTACCTAGTAGACATCTCAACCTATAGAGATCTTAAATTCAATGTTTCCAAAACAACGCAGTACTCCACCCCCCCCAAAAAAATCACCCCTCTTCCTAACTTTCTTATTGCTGTCAAAGTTACTACCATCCCCCCCCCAGTCATGTAGGCCCATAATTTTGGTGTCATCCTCAACACTCTCTCCCTCTAACCACCCTATATCCAATCTGGTATCAAATCTTGTAGATTTTATCTTTGTAACGTCTCTCACATACTTCCCCTTATCTCCTCTGACATTGCCAGCTTCCTGATAATTGTCCTTATTCCCTCATTCCTGAATTATTGAAATGGTTTCCTGCTGTTCTGCCACAGTTTCTCCTTACTCCATTCCATCTTCCACACAACTGTCAAAATGATCTTTGTAAAGTGTTGGTGTGACCATACTCTCATCCAACTCAGTAACCTCCAATGACTATCTATCATGTCTAGGATCAAATATAAAATCCTCCATTTCACATTCAAAGCCCTTCATGACCTGTCCCTCCATGCACATGTTTTTCCAGTTTTTTTTTTGTTTTTACACATTATACTGAGACTCTTACAATGTACTTTGTGATCAAATGACACTAATTTCCTTGTTATTTCTTAAACAAGATATGCCATCTCCTGTCTTTGTATATTTTTACTGGCTGTCACCCTTGCTTGAAATGTTCTTCCTCCTCATTTCCATCTCCTGGTTTCTCTTGTTTTCCTCAAGCCCCAGCTAAAATTTCACTTCCTATGGGGAGCTTTTTCTGATCCCACTTAATGCCTTCTCTCTATTATCTTCTATTTGTCTTGCATATAGCTTGTTTATACATAGTTGTACAAACTATTTTTATATGTTTTCTTCCACATTAGACTTGTCTTTTGTTTTTCTTTGTATCCTCAGCATTTAGCACAGTTGCTTAACACATAGTTGGCATTTAATAATTGTTTATTGACTGATTAAATTTTGTCATAGTACCTCAGAAAGTAAGTTATTTAATCAAAGTGGCTATATTCACTGAAGAAAAGAAGATAATAGCCTCTTTATGTCTTAAAATAGCTTCAAGATCTTAAATCACCAAAAAAAAATCATCACTTAATGACTAGATTTCTGGTCTTGAACTTGAAAAATGGGTCCACATACAAAGCCTTTCCTTTAGGCCAGGCCTGACAGATTTTCTACTTTAGTAATATCTTCAAGAACTTACAGTCCCCTTCATTCTACATAGGCAGCAAAGAGGTACTTAAACTGGCTAGATCCATATGTATTGCTATTTGGAACATTGCTAATTAACGGTATCCAAGACTTATGATAGAAAAGTATCCATATATATTGTTTGTGAATCATTTCGTGCATGTATGTTTATTGCCCTAACTAAATTGTGGCTTTTCTATAGACAAGGACAATATAATAATAGCTATCATTTTTATTGCACTTTAAGTTTGGCAAAGACCTTTACAATTATTATCATCTCCTTTGATCTTCACAACCTTGGGAGTTAGGTGTTATTATTACCCCCATTTTACAGAGGAGGAAAATGAGGCATATAGAGGTTAAGTGACTTGCCCAGTGTCACACAGCTATTAAGTGTCTGAGGCTGGATTTGAATTAAGGTTTTCCTGATTCCTGGCCCAGTACTCTATTTGCTGTGCCAGTAAGTTGTATTATACTTTTTGTATATCTTGTTAACACCAAGCTAAATTTTAAGCTAGAACAAATGTTCAAAAAATAGATATTGACTAATTGCTATCAACACACAACAGAAGCTTAAGTTTCTCATAAGAAGACCAATCAAAGTTTCATACTGAAATTTTTTCTGATTTATTTGAAATCACTAAGATTGTTATAATGACAAAGTTTTGCCCTAAAGAAAAGATCCAAGATCTCACTTCTTTGCAGAAGTGGGATAGAATATGTCATATAATGTGTCCATATTGTGTCAAAGTAATCGATTGACTTTTTTTCTGAATTGTCTTTTTATTTCCCTTCTTAATTCTTTGTTACAAGGCATGGTTCTATAAGAGTGGGAGGTTGGAGGGATATATTGGAAAATACAAATTACATAAAAAAAATACAAATGGTATCAATAATGTTTAAACTCAAGAGAAAACAAAATCCTAAATATCCTAAGTGGGAATTTCAAAATACAAAATAAAATCCTCTTTTATGAGATTCATTAGCAGTAACTAAAGAGGGAGTGGGGAGAGAAATGATTTAATGGATAGGGCACTACACTTGGAGTCAAAAATATCTGAGTTTCAATCTTGCCTCACACCTTTATCAGTTGCATGACCCAGGACAAGTCAATTAACCTCTCTGAGTCTCTGTTTCCTCTTGGTAAAATAATAGGCTAAATGCTCTTCCAGCTCTGAAATTACCATCTTATGATTTTTTTAACTAAATGAATCACTCCAGGTTTCTTTCAAATCATAAATTTGACAAAGATCTGATTTAGACACAACTTTCACAAAAGTGCCAACTGTAGAATCAAAGTCTATGTGTACTATATTCAAGATTTTGTGAACCTTCAAAATGTATTTTCTTCAGATAAGTAGTATAGTGTTTGGTCATCAGATAAGATATTTCCCAGACAGCTCTTTATTGTTGTTGGAGATATTTCTTATTGACAGCATCTGGAAGTAATCTTCAGTGAGCTAAAGGAAGCTCCTTATAAGACTGAAGTCTTGACAATATATCCAAGATCCCTTCAATAAGGGTCAAGTTCTTTTATTAGTCAATTGGGCATGATAGTTGTGGTAGCAAGCTATGATGTTGGATTTTTACTAGATCCATTTCCTTCCATCTATGAGTCTCTTTTATACCATCTGATTCTGGAGTCAGGTAAGATCAGTATTCTCATTTACTATCTTATCCATTCATCCGCCCTGAGTAGACATTTTGCAGCCAGTGGAGTGGGTGGGTATGGGGCAGGTAGGGGAGGTAGTTGAGGGGAAGGGTAAGAACTCCTGCTCTTTCAAAATAATATAAATTCAATATTTTATGCCTGACTTCTGTCTTTCAGACTATATTTTCTGTGAATTTTGCTGAAGGGCGACAAATGTGCTGCAATGGTGACATAAAATACCTCATCGACTGGAGAAGTTGCTGAAACGCTGTCTTTTCTTTCTTTCTTTCTTTTAAATGCTGCTGCTATTGGGAACAACTTGAGGCACATGTATTCAACATGAGTTTTATCATGAAGCTTCACAGACACTTTCAGCGGACAGTTCTTTTGCTTGCCACCTTTTGTATGGTGAGCATTGTCATTTCAGCCTACTACTTGTACTCTGGCTACAAACAAGAGAATGAACTCTCTGAAATGTCTTCAGAAATGGATTGTGGGGAGCTTCCATATCTGCCACATACATTAATGGAGCTAAAGACCATGAAGCCCTTTGACCCATTAAGGACAGACCCCATTGTTCTGGTGTTTGTGGAGAGCCAGTACTCTTCCCTGGGTCAAGACATCATCATGATACTTGAATCAAGTAGGTTTCAGTATCATATAGAAATTGCTTCTGGAAAAGGGGACCTCCCTGTGCTGATTGACAAAAGTAAAGGCAAATATGTCCTTATTATATATGAAAATATTTCAAAGTATGTCAATATGGACTCTTGGAATCGAGACCTTTTAGATAAATACTGTGTAGAATATGGTGTGGGGATCATTGGATTCTACAAGAGCAGTGACAATAGCCTGCAGGGCTCTCCACTAAAAGGTTTCCCTTTTTCAGTTCATGGAAACCTTGCTGTGAAAGGTTGTTGCATTAACCCTCATTCTCCATTGCTCCGGGTGACCAAATCCTCTAAGCTTGATAGACGTTCCTTACCTGGAAGTGACTGGACAGTTTTCCAAATCAATCATTCGGCATATCAACCAGTGATATTTGCCAAAGTCAAGGCCCCTGAGAACCTTTCTCCCCCCATTTCCAAGGGTGTTCTTTATGCCACCATCATCCATGATCTAGGGCTTCATGATGGGATTCAGCGGGTTCTTTTTGGCAACAACTTGAACTTTTGGCTGCACAAGCTCATCTTCATAGATGCCATCTCCTTCTTGTCAGGGAAGAAACTCACATTATCCTTGGACAGGTATATTCTTGTGGACATTGATGACATCTTTGTGGGGAAGGAGGGAACAAGGATGAATACCAATGATGTTAAGGTATGTGCTGGATGCCTGAAATCTGCAAATGTAAGATTTAGTTTTCAGTTTCCCCCCCTATACCAGGTATATTCTATTTCCTTTTGTAATAGTAAATCACTCTGCAAGGAAACATTGAAAGGTAGAGTTGACTATGAAAGTGCTAAGTTGGTTTAATCCCTTGGGGGGGGTGGAACGTCCACCTGGGCATTTATTATTTACAACAGTCATTGGCTAGAATTTAACTCTCATGAATGAAATAGAGGTAACAGTTTTGTTTTGTTTTTACAATAAATAGCAACTTTAATTTTGGAGAACAAAAGATCAGATTAGAAATAAGTTCAAGTATTTGAAATGTCAAAACGGCATTTCAGTTTCTCTTATCATTATGTATTATGATACTCTGGAATACCACTTAAGTGCAGATAAAATATAAAAAGAAAAAACATAGTTTATATATGTAAGAATTAATTTTGAGATGATATTTACACAAATAGGAATTTAAATTAACTTTTAGGATTCGGTGACTTTACTAAAATAGTGATGAGGCCCAAGAATTCGAATTACATTTGTCTTTGTCTTATGTAAACTCTCACCTTCTGATGAAGGCAAGAAACTATTTCTGTACATAGGAGTAAGAAAAACTAACATGTACAGAAGGTGTTTTAATGCAAATAACTGATTTTTGGTCATAGATGAGGTATAAAATGTTATCTACATCTGCATTTTTTATTCAGCACTATACAAAACTCTATCTCTTTTCCACTACGTTTTGTTTTCCTATGTGAGTAAGATAGGAAGTTTTTTGAGATGTGGATTCTGTATGGAGCTGCCCCCACATTTTTTAGGAGGATTTTTATTTATGCCTTCTTTTCTTTTATCACAGTAATTTCTTCAGCTTTACTTTATCTTAATCCTCTCCTGGAAAAAAAAGTAAAGTATCAATATATGCAACATTTTAGTTTAGCTGCCCCACTCACCCACCTACCTCTCTTCTGAGAGAAGGGTTTTGTTGTTTAGTCATTTTCAGTCATGTCTGATTCTCCATTCATGACCTCATTTGAGATTTTCTTGGCAAGGATACTGAACTGGTTTGCCATTTCTTTCTCCAGCTCATTTCATAGATGAGGAAAGTGAGGCAAACAGGTTTAAATGACTTGCCCCAGTTCACACAGCTAGTAAATATCTGAGACCAGATGTGAACTCAGGTTTTCCTGACTCCAAGCCTGGTGGTCTATACACTGCACCACCTAACTGCCACCGTTGAGGAGGGTGGTATGTTTCATTGTTTGTTCTCTGAGGTCATTATTGGTTGTGCAGATATTCAGAATTTGTCTTCCTTTCAATGGTCTTTTAATTTATAATCATAGGATCAAAGATTTGGAGGTGGAAGAGACATTAAAGTTGATGAAGACCAATTTTCTTATCATACAAATGAGGAAACTGAGGCCCAGTGATGATAGGTGACTTACTCAGGGTGAGATATCTAGTAAATATCTGAGGAAGGATTTAAATTTAGGTCTTCTTTACTCCAAGCCCAGTGCTTTATTCACTCTACCTTCTCTGTCTCTCATTGAGGTCATTATGTATACTGTTCTTCAGTTCTGCTCATTTCATTCTGCATATGTTCATACAAATATTCACATGATCCTCTGACTTCTTGTTCACCACTTTTTACCACACATTAGTCCTTTATATTCATATATTAATCTTTCAGCTCTCCTCCAATTAATGGACATACACTTTGTTTCTAGTTTTTCACTATAAAAAAGTGCTATTATGAATATTTTGCTCTAAATGGTACTCTTCCTTCTGTCTTTAAAGTTTTTAACATATAGGGCCAGAGGTGGGATTTGAGGTTAAAAAAAAAAGAAGTTATGAACAATTTGGTCACTCTCCTGATTCTTCATTTTTTGGGGGGGAGATGTGGCATGGATTAAGGAGAAGAATGAATGCACACACATACACACAGAGAGATTTTATGTGTATATATATACCTTTCTATATATATGTATATACATGTATCTATGTATATATTTGTATGTGTTTTCATATGTGTGTGTTTATATAGCAATATATGTGTGCGCGTGCATGTATGTGTGTGTGTATATGTGTGTGTGTACAGTTAGAAAAATGTACTTTATAAAATGAGATTCTTTTCTCCAGACATTAAACATCTGTTATGGTAGTGAAACTCATTAACCTTGTTAAACACACTAAGATACCAAAGATTAACTTAAATGTCAGCAGAAGAATTGGCACAGACATTAAGGAGGTGAGGTAGGAGGCAGGAGGGGAAAGAGAGGGCTCCAGGTGATGAGGCAGTACTTTAGCCCCTTTAGTTTTTAAAACAGAAATTAACTGATAAAGAAGTTAAGCTGCCATGAAATATTTCAAGGTTAAATGACTTAAAGCCAAGTTGATAATTAAACAATTCCAGTAGATGCCTTAAAGTTTTACAAAATAAATAAATCTGGTTCTATTTTTTAAAATTTCAAAATAGTATGATAAAGTCTGTTCTGGGTGTCTAATTTTCTGACATAGCTCTTCAAACTTTCAGAATCACTTGGAACCGATGATATTATTGATGAAATGTTTTAGAATGCAATGGAGTAACACCTAACTAGTCTTCATGTAATTCTTGCTAACTCTCCCAAATATTAAAAGAAGTGATACAATGCATTTTTTTTTTGCTTTTGTGGGTGATAGATAAAAAAAACCATTCATAGAATCAATTCAAAATGTGCCAAAAAAACTTTGTAAAATTGGATATCTTTAGCAATTATGATTTTCTCTACTCCACAAAGACTTGCAGTAGTTATCTTAAACTCAGTTTGGTTTAAAACGATATCTTAGAGCAGATTTATGTGACTTTCTCAAAATATAAATTCATAACATATCAATTACTTGAAAAGGTCATGAATTAATTTTCATTGGTAATTTATAGATTCATTGATCTAATTAATATAAGCTAAGTATTGGTCACCTACTAGGTGTAAGTCAATTTGTTAGGTTGTGGAGGTTGCATAAATGTATGTCACAGATTTTGACCTTCACTAGTTTACAGTCAGTCTAACTGGGAGGAAACTGGGTAGTGCAGTAGAGAGAGGGCTCTGGGCCTGGAGTCAGGGAGACCTGAGTTCAAATCTGGTCTCAGACACTAGCTATGTAACTTTAGACAAAGCATTTAACCTCTTCTGCTTCAGTTTCCTCATCTTTAAAATGAGAATAATAATAGCACTTGTTTCCTAGGTGAGGAGGTTGTGAGGATAAAATGAGATAATATTTCTAAAGTGTTTTGTAAACCTTTAAGCAGCATATAAGTGTTAGCTGATATATTATAAATATATAGATATCCATACAATCCACATAACAGTAAGTACTATTCAAGCCCACAGCCTTACAAAAAGTACAATAGACCTGTCCCACATTCACACTAACTCATGGGAACAGTTGAAAGGTATTGAGGCAAATATCAACAGAGTCATTTCAGAAGTACTCATGAAAGGATGCCTCCCGATTCCAAGCAGATCTTTTCAACTTGAAATCTCCTTTCTATCCACTGACCATCCTGATTCCATTTAACTATCCTATATTTGGTGTTCTGAGAAATGCTGTCTCCTGAGGTAGTTTTTCATTTATCATTGTTTAGTACTATTTTATCTAGTGAGGGTGCTTGCCTTTAGCCCCATTAAATTAACCCAATCACTGGAACACACCCCTCCAAGGAATGTAAGTCCCAAATTAGCAGAACATCAAACAGAAGTTTTATATCAGATCAAAGAAATCACTTCCACCTGAGATGGTCAAGGAAGACTTCAGGGAAGAAGCACAATTTCAGCTGAACCATGAAAGACTGTCAGGTTCTTTATAGGAAAAGACAAGGGGGATGCATTCCATGTAGAGGAAATGGCATGAAAAAAAGAGCTGAAGTTTAAAAGTATGAGACAATTTACGATACAGTACGTAGAGCTGTCTTGAAGGAAAAGTATGTGTGGGGAGTAGAAATGGAAAAGCAGCAAGAAGACCAGATTATGGAGGGTTTTGAATGCCAGGCTAAGGATTTTGACTTTATTCCTCATATAAAATGCTTGTCCTCAGTCTACTTCCTTCTTCCTCTTTCCTCAGCCTAGTGACCCAGGTTCTCAATCTCTGTGTCATCCCCTACTCCTCACTCTCACTGCTCCCAGCTATCCAGTCGGTTTCTAAGTCTTATTACTTCTATTTCCACAACATTTCCCATTTCTGTCCTCTTTCCTATCCTTACAGTTACATTATCAGTTCAGGCGACTAGCACCTTTCACACTGACTTTTATAATAGCCTTCTAATTTGTCTCTTTGCTCCAAGACACTCCCCATGCTAACTCATCTTATCTGACAAGAGGATTTTCCTATGGCACAGGCCACTTCTTTAGTTCATCCAACTCAGTGGCTTCTTATTAGTTGTAGACTCAAATATGACATTTTTTGTTTGTCATTTAAACTGTTCACAAACTGGCCCCTTCCTATATTTTTCCAGTCTTATTAGACACAGCTCTTCTCAGGCTACTCTGTAATATAGCCAAAATTGGGCCTTCTTGCTGTTCTTCACATTGTGCATTCTGCTTTTCAACTCTTTCTTTGCATTGACCCTTTCCCTGGCCTGGACTACTCACATTCCTCTCCTCCATCTCTGAGAATTCCTGATTTCCCTCAAGATGTTGTTCAAGCAATGAGTTCTACATGTGGTTTTCCCTGGTCCCCAGCTACTAGTCCCTTTTCCCAATGCTGCTTTGATCTGTTTTATATTATGTGTGTGTACACACATACATATGTGTGTGTATATAATATACATGTATCTATGGATGTGGTTTCTCTTTTGTTCTAGAAGAGAACCTCATGACATCAGGGGGACAATAACATGACTTGCAGTTGACTTTGATTTGAGTGAGGGAGGACCATGCAAAGTCACCAGCCTCACTTTCTCCTCTCCTTGTGGAATGAACTAGTGTCTTTGAAGGAGAAACCAAGACAACGTACAA